AAAAAAAACTCTTTTCTCTGTTATTCCCTAGTTTTCTGGAAAACCAATACTTGCAAGGCCTAGCGGCACAAACCAAGGTGAGAGTCGGATTCAGGACCATCGATTACCTGTGGTCCACCACCTTTCATGTCTAAAGCGATTTATCAGTTGGGGATCATTCTTCGTAAGTGGCATCTAACGTAAGAAAATAATTAAAGATGGATTTCGGATAATTAAAATATGCAATAATAGATGCATTGTTTAGTGAGGATTAATCACCAAGGTATCATTTGTTCCCAGTGTAGTCCTCTGCACGCTTCTTTTGTTGCTTGGGAAAATACATTTCAGTCATCCACTATTCAAAGATGTGAATGTTAATACTGAGGTTTATTTTGTGGTTTGATTTAGAGTGTGAGAGATGCTTTATTCTACGTCGTCAACGATCGAAGCTCTCTTACCAATTCCATTACTGATTGGAATCGCCGTCCTGTGTTTATCACTGGCAGCATTCTGTATTCTACTCACATGTTTCGCTGTTATTGTTAGCAGAAGGTAGATAATACACACACTATTAATAGAAACGTCACGTATTCTCTTTTTATTTAGTTATCCAATTAGTTCGGATACGTCTATCGTTTCGACTCAATGTTTAACTATTTTGAGAAGAGCTTCTCAAAAACTGCGTGCAGACTCGACTACCACATCAAAACCTTCGCTTGATCAAACCACCAAAGTATCAGATCAGCGATCAACCAGTAATGATGATGTTGATCAATTTTCTTGTGATAAAGAAATTCAATGTCCAACGGTAGATGCGTTCAGCACGGATAGTTTGACATTCACAGCCCCATTACAAGTTCCGCCACAATCAACAGTCACATCGGAGCATAAAATCGATTTTGAGCGAGAAGAAGATATAACGTTGAAACAACTGCAATCGTCTCAGGACAGTTTAACCGAATTTTTTTTAAACAACTCATCGTGGAATAAGATCACTCCGCCAAAAATGTCCTCGTTACCGTGTATAAAACTTCGTAAATCCGATGATAGTGTAGAATTATCAAAGATAACCGTCATCGAGGCTCCTCAGTCGTTACCCAATATTCCGAAGCGCTCCACAGTCAAAGATGTCACTAAAATGAATGGGGATGAAAATCATATCACACCCACAACAACAACCATAGCAGTACCTCAAACCGATATTCAAACGAGACAAACGCGAAAACATCGAACACTACCCACATTCTCAGTCAACTCCTTTGACTCATTGTTCTCAAAAGATTCGTTAGCAGAATAAACACAGCCCAACCAACTAACACTTCACTTCGTTATCTTCCGAGTGCTATTAAAAATTCTACCTAAACATGCGAAGGAGATCAGCCTTCGACGCATTCGTGTTATGCTGAGTAGTTTGTTTAACTCCAACTTAAGAATAATTATGTCTCGACTTTACAATCCGAGAAAGCATTTGTTTCAAATCAGTTATTTATACGAGAGATGGGTAGAATTTTGAAAGAAATCAATAAAAAGAAACAAGGAAAATCATAGAAAATTTTTCCAGAATGCTTACGGCTTTAATGCGACCGTCCTGTCAGATTCCATGAAATACTTGCCACTTTTATTGAAGATGGTATATGTAAGAAACATATAAGATTCTTATTTGATTTTACAAGAATTTTTGTCTAGGGAAATTTAGGAGAAGATATACAGCCATGAAACTTTCAGTGTATAAGTAATCGCTTATGAGGGTTCGAATAATAGCTACGAACAACCTCTAGAATGGATCCTATTAGTGAAAAATCTGTCTGAAACTTGACCGAATGATGAGTACGGTGGAAATGATTGTCAGATTTCGGGTCAGCATTAAAAAAAACCGAGAAGGACACTCCGAAATCTTTCTTGGTCAGCCTAAAAATTTATAGCAAAGGATTTGTCGTCAATTTGATCATCGTATCGATACTAAGCAACTGGCAGCATCCTTAAATTTACTGAATTTGAAGGTTCCTCCTCTATATTTCTTTGTTGTGAATTTTTATCGAATAAACGATTCTTTCGTCGGATAGATTAATAACATCATCAATTACTAGAGCAAGTAGTCAAACTCTTTGACTTTTTCGAATTATGATCTTACAAGATCTTGTTATCTGATTCTTGGCCGATACACAGTGGACAATCAGGCGGACATTAGGGGAAAAATCGAAAGCGAGATTTTTCAAGATCTAAATAGTGTCATATATACACTACTGAATGGCCGGTCTAACAGCTAAAAAAATTTTGAACCAAATGCATAAGATGACCGAGAAAGCCAACCGTCAATTTTTGGTTGATTTTTCGTAAGTTCTATAAAAAACTCTTTTTTCCTGACAAGAGTAAACACATTTAAAATTTGAAAGGTATATATTCTGAAAGCTAATTGTTTGGGCTATCGACTGGTAAAAAAAGGTCTCAGATTGCCTCTTTCCTGTGTGAATGAACCTAACTTTTTTCGGAGCTAAGTGTTTTTTCAAAAGCTGCACTCAGCAAAGTGAGTGCGCGAGGGTTAGCGAAGGTCCGTCGAAGCTGAAATTTTTAGCAGTTATTTATCTGGAAGTGGGCAACCTACAAAACTAGCAAAAAGTTGCAATTTTTTCCAGTTCCAGATTTATGAGTTTTCCAAAAACTCTGGTTTTTCAGCGATTTTTCGCGGTTTTCTCAGATAGAAAGCATCTTAGCTAAAAGCTGAAGACAGATTCGGAATCAGTGTAAAAGCTGCATCTAATCATGTGTCTTTGGTCCACTTTCGACGAACTCTTGCTGAAGTTTGCTGGAAACAGCGATTCTCCAAGGTTTTTCTCTAAAGCTGTAGCTGATGTTTTAGTATGACATCTTCGAGCTTCCAGAAACTGTGAAAACCAGTTTTCGGCAGGTTTTCAACCATGGCAAATCTAGTGATGCAGTTCAAAAACTTTTAAAGTGGTTTTCTAAAGGGTTTCCACAGACCGGATCTCTGGAAATCCCCTCAAAAACCAGTCTTTGAACATTTTATGGTTCGAATTGCCCATAGTTCTTTGGGCACACTACCAGAGGTGGCTATAGCTTCGTGTTGCCACCCTTGAAGGTGTCAATAGATCCACCCTATTATTTATCTAGTAAAAGAATTTTCGTTGAACACCTCACAAGAGAGATTTCAACCTGAACGTAGTTTGTAGAATGGCGTCGGTTTATGTGTAACTTACTCATCTAATTTATTTCTTGATATTTAAATATAAACAACTTTCTTTTCTTCTTCGATAAAACTATGTTTATAAAAACAATCTGCACTTTTTGAACAGTCAAAATACATGACAAAATTTTACACACATAACCAGAAAGACAACTATTCGAAACTTATTCAGGGTAAAGGCAGTTTCGAGTTCGTCAGATCCAACAAGATATGTTTTACACTTTCAACTTATTCTACCACTCATTTTCAAATATATCATATAGCATTCTTTTTTCATTTCTTTTTATTCCGCCATTTTGTTAGTTGAAGAACAAAAGCAAAAGTAATTGTTCTCTTTCCTTTTTTCTATAGCAAAAAACGTGATATACGATGTGAACAGGAGTCTGAAATTATTTTTTTCGAATGGGAGACAAAATAGAGGACGTTTATTTTAACGAAAAAACGTCATGTCAATCTAAAATAACTGATGAGCTCAACTAAAGTCACATATTACAAATAAATTAAAATGAATATTGTGAATTTTTTAGCCATTTATCGTTAGAATTACTCTGTCGTTTCTTCTTATAGTTCTAATTTAGAGTTCATTCTTTCAAAACTAATTTTTCAAATTTCAAACAATAGATTTTTCATTTCAATTAGCTTTTATCGACAAATTCATATCACACATCTGAGAAACTCTGAGACCCGCACAGCAGGAAGAGTAATGTTTTTCACCCTCGAAAACCCTTCAAAAACCTCCTAAAGACCCTCTGAAGTACCTCTGAAGATCTCGAAAAATTATGAAACCAATTTCATTGGATTCAGCATATTTTTTACGTATTTGCATGTCATTTTATCAATGTTTCACCATGAAACTCGGTACAAGTTCAAAATTCCTTTCTTCAGCTCAATGACATTTTTACTGGTACTATCCGTGTTGTGGATTTTATTTCTCAGCAACCCGATGGAAGTTAGCCGAACTACAACACATTTTTGTAGCCCTTTTCAAGGTGGTTCGAATGAGCTATGAAAGAATTTTTTTGCTTCACAGGCACCAGACTTGATGTCTTTGGCGAGAGCACTGCACCGATTGAGAGCCAGCTGGATAGAGGTCTTGAATTTCTAGCCAGTTGACGTCATTTTCGATCAAGCTCTAAAACACTTCCCTATACTCACTTCGACATGAGGAATCCGAATATGAAAGAATAATCTGCTAAAAGTGCAACGGAAAACGAAGAACCGAAGTTTTCTGAAAAATGCGTCTTTTTTCCATTGTCGAATAACAAACTAGTATTTCAAGGTTTTCTCCTGGAAGGAAAGCTCGAAAAAACTTGTAAAGGCGATATCCTTGTAGAGCTATTCAAGCTCTATCGAACGGTGTGCGTTTCAAAAAAATCTAAAATCTGCTTGAAGTTTGAATTACCCGCACCTTATATCTTGTCAAAAAGATCATTATCATACAGGTGTTTGGATAGTTTGTAGCAAATAGAGTTATTCGGAGATTCGAGCCATCCCGAAAAACATTACTCTTCCTGCTGTGTGCGTCTCAGAGTTATCGCTATTTCTCTCATAATAATATAAAAAAGATATTATAGCTTGACGGAAAACATAGTCTCGGATATTCTCCTTGCATTTCTTAATCGATTAAAATATCAGACTACAGTCCTTAGCTATACCAGAAGTGAATCTGGACCGAAAATATTGAAATCTGTTGCTAACTTTACCTACGTGATTTTAAATGCCACAGACTTATAGAGACCGATTTCACACCAAGAAATGGAGAAGTTGTAAATGAGATTGTTCTCTGCTATATGAAGTGGAAACTGGAACAAGATCGCATGGTCCTAGCAACTTGTAGCCGTTTGATGAGTTTTGTCGAATTTGAGTACATATTTGCGTTGTCGGTAAAAAAAAGAATGGACTCGGATGTTTTTTGAATAACGTTTGACAGAAAAGTGGTAGATGCTCGAGATCTTCACTAATCGAAAGCTAGCACCTAACTGCATCTTTTCACAATGAAAGTCTCTTTCAGAATCTTCCACTAAAGCAGGTTTTTCAGGAGATCTTTGAAAAACCAGATCATTGCTCAAAAACTTGAAATATAAATGATTTGATTTTTTTTCATGGATAGGTAGTCCAAAGTGTCCTCGTCAAAATGGGAGTCAAGCGAGACTCTGATCTTCGATCGCTTAGGCCGGGCGTCGAATTTCCTGGGAGTCCCGGAACTGATCATTTCTCACACGTGGGAACCTCACAAATGACTCTAGACAAGGGTTATCGGCTACGCTGAGTCTCGTGGTTCATTTGTGAGGTTCCCACGTGTGAGAAATGATCAG